GAATGCGGTGTCAACAGGCACCAAGGATATCAGAAAAATGAGCCGGTCGCCCGTCCAGGCTTCGAGGTCCCCCCCGCTGAAGCAAGCGATGATTTATTGCTTTGCCAGGGAGGGTCTGGAACAAAGCGCATGGCGCGAAGCGCCAATGCAGTCTCGAGTGTGTGTATATATATATATAGATAGATAGATTATATGTATCTGTCTTTGATGGGGGGGCGCTCACCCTCAACAGGGGGGTGCGTCCGAGTGGCCCCGTCTGGGTGCATCCCCGAATGCTTTTTTTTTGCACGGCCGAATTTTTGAGGGGGAGCTCCGGCATTGGTCGGCTACATCGAAAGAGCGACCCTGGAGCGGCCCGTGTGCATGAGCTTGGCGCCCCCTGGTCCACCGAAAGCAGTGCACCAAAAACCACTACGGCGAAGGGTCTGTCGATTTTCAGGGCAGATCTCGGGTACCCAGCGGCCGCTCGGGACGATTCAGGGATCCCTGGATCGCCGTCGGCGAGGCGCAGCTGCTGGCACGTATCCCGAGGCAGGAAAACCTCCATGAACCGACGAACACGTTCGACTCTCCCCCGAGAACGGCTATTTTTACGCGTGGTGCATTCTGGGCCCCTGGCCACTCGGTGGCACTGGCGGCGACAAGCCGTGCAGAGTCTTGTTGTGGCCCTCTGGTTCTCTCTCTAGGGTCTCTCTCATGGCGAACCGACGGGGACGTCCGAGAAGGGCCTCTCTTACGCTGAGGGGGAACGTCAGTGGCGGACCGGCTCAGGGGGGGGAAGCATTGACCTGCAATCGGCGATAGGGCCCCGACAGCGAACCCGTGCGCTCCTGGGCTAGTTGTATCCACTCCTGAGCCTCGCCCCCCCCCCCCCCATCCTAGCGTTGCCCCTGATCTTCGACTCTGATGACCTTGATCCTCGACCTCTGATTTTCGGGTCATAACTCGGGCCTGTCGCGGCCGTTCAAGAAGATTCCGATACCCACAGAACGCTCTCGGCGAGGCGCAACTGCCGGAGAACACCCCGAGGCTGGAAACCCGCAAAAAACCAACGAAAACGAATGACAACCTCAAGCCTCGAACCCGAAACCTCCTCTCCCTCCCCGCGGGGGATGATATCCGCAACCGAATGGGGGCGAGAGTCCGCGAAATACCTGCGAAGGCCACCCTCGGCCTGGACGTGGCAGAGGCTGGGGGCAGCGGCGTGGCCCCTGCTCCACGAAATGTGGTGAGGCTAGGCGACGTCGTCCGCGTCCGCGGGTCGGAGGGCGCCAGCGATACACCCGCACCGACTCTTGCCGGGCCCACCGCACTTGGCCCAGGGTCGGCGCAGACGCATTGCTGGCCGATTCTGGAGGGCGAAGGGGTTCGAAGGTCCCAAAACCGTGAGGTGACGGACCGCGCGGGGACCTCGAAATCCCAAGAGACCTCACCGCGCGGCCTCGTAGGCCCCCGTCGCCCGAGACGCACCCGGAGAACGATCCGTATCCCAGAACCGTGCGCTGACTCCGCATCTCCACTGACTCTCCACGCGGTGCAGCCACCACGCCGTTTTGGAGCGGACCAGGGGGACACCAGTAAATTGACACAGATTCCAAGATTTTTGTAGAGTTCGGTTCTCCCCATCTCCAATCATTTGAAATACTTGCATGGAAATCAGCGTTTCTTTGTATTTGTGTTTGTCCCTACTCCCCCTCTCCGGACATTGAGGGCCCCCCCGCGAGGAAGACTGACTGCGACGTGGGTCGCCCGCCCGGCCCGCACGGAGGCTGGGTCGCCGGGCAACTCTCGCGGAGGCGCCGCTCCCAGGAGCCCTCCGCGGGCCGCTCCCAGGCGGGCCTGCGGCGGCGCGGGCGGGGCGCCATTGCGAGGGCGGGGGGATGGCTTCGCTTTTTTTGTTTCTCTCCGAGCTCTGAGCGACGGGGCTCGTAGCGTCTGGCCTTCTCGTCCTCCTCCTCCACTCCACTCCACTCCGCTCCGCTCCACTCCACTCCAGTCCGCTCCACTCCACTGCACTCCATCTCAATCCACTCCACTCCAGTCCACTTCACTTCGTTCCACTGCACTTCATTTCACTCCACTCCACTTCGCTCTGCTCCGCTTCGCTCCACTCCACTCCACTGCGCTCCGATCCGCTCCGCTCCAATCTGGCCCTCCTCGTCCACTACACTCACCTCCAGTCCTCCTCCTTCTCCTCTTCCTCCTCCTTCTCCTCCTCCTCCTCTTCCTCCTCCTCCTCCAGAGGTTCCTCCTCCTCCTCCTCCTCCTCCTCCTCCTCCTCCTACAGAGCTTCCTTCTCCGTACGCTGGAAAGAGAGGACTGATTCGGGCCGACAAGCAGCAGCAGGGGAAAAGGGGGTCCCTGCGTCCTTCTGCTGGCGTATGGTTTGAACAGCGCTGTTGGACAAGCCCAGGGGGAGGAGGAGGATGAGGACTGGCCGCGTCGCTGGGGTCGTCCACTCCACTCCACTTCACTCTGGTCCTCCTCCGCCCCCTCCTCATCCTCTTCCAGAACGTCCTCCTCTTCTCCTCCTCCGGAGACTCCTCCCTCTCCGTTTTCAGAACTTCCTGCTCCTCCTCCTTCTCCTCCGCTGCCGCCGCATCTTGGGGAGCAGCATCAGTCAGCATCGAATCGGGAAATGGATTCGAGTCGGAGCGTGCACGAGATGAGGCTGCATCGACTAGGAGCAACTGGGCCAAAATTCGCAACAACATCATGCAAACATCGAACCGCATCGGATCGTCGGACTGTCAGAGTCGGATCGGATCGAGTCGACCGTAATCGATATCGAATCGTGAACCCTGCAATGAGGCAAATGAGGGTGGATGGAGGAACGGCCTCGGGCCAAGGACGCCGAAGGCTGCAGTGGCGACAACGACGACGACGACGACGACGGCGACAACACGGGCGGCTCACTGGCGTCTTCTGGTACCGTCTGGCCCTCGTGTGCCTCGCGTTTTCTGAAGTCGCCAGTGGCTCGAGCGTCAGGACGTATACTTGCTCAGACATATCAGGGCATGGCCGGTTGCCTAAAATACGCAAGGGAGCTAACAAACAGAGAGCAGCGCAGTCTGGAATCTCTTTGGGTCTCTGGTGTGATCTCTCGTGTCCCTTGGGGTGCTGCCTCGTGTCTCCCGAGGCATCGGGGGCATCTCCTGGTGTCTGTATTTACTTCATGGGTTCTCCCAGGCCAACACAAGCTCTAGATCGGACTTTAGAGCTTCCTGCCTGGAACTTGATGGGCTATACCAAGCCAACTCAGGACCGTCTGTGTAAAAACGTCCGACCGTCGAGAGGACACGCATTGTTGACGCAGCCCCAAATCCAACCCCCCAAATCCGCGCGCGAGAGGTGCAATAGGGGGGAAGCTCCAGACACATTAAAGGCAACAGCGTCCTAAAGCCACGCGGGAAGCCAGCGCGCAGCGCGCGCAGCGAAGAAGCCGTAGGTATCCCGACGGACAACGACGGAAAACATCTGATTTCTTGCTCGTCCCCACTGTAACGATCTAGCGCGATGGCTTACCCAGGCCTCCAATGTTGCGCAGCATGTGGAAACGAAGGCGCGCGCGCGCCCTCACGCGGGCAATTCACGCGCCAATGTCCGCGCCGCCGATCCCATGTGTTCTTGCTCCTAGAAGTCTTTGAGGCCCCGAGATTGTGTGTGGTCGCGGACCCCGATGGTGACCCCGCATTCCCACTGACTCACCACGCGGTGTGGTCACCGGTTCTGGAAACCCTGAACCCACAATGGTTGCCATCTCTCGGGGCGCATTTTCTACTTCCGCTGACTTCCGCCGGCTGAGGCGGCCTCGTCTCACTTCTTCGAGCTTCTGTCGCCTTTCCGCCGCCTTCCGCCGAGGAAGCGATGGCAACTCCTTCGATCCTTGGAGGCGAAAGCCCTTCTGGAGCGCGCCGTGCTTGTGCTCGCGGAGGTCCTCTGATGCTCCGGTGCCAGGCCCGGAGGTGCCCTCGGCAAGCCCTCCCGCGGGGCGTGAGCTCTCCAGCGCCCCTCGGGCTGGGACCCCGCGAGGCTCGCCCACTCTTCTGGAGCCAGCGGGGCGCACGTGCGAGCAAGCCTGATCGAGCCACGCACCCCGACCCTGGAGCGCAGGTGGGCAGGACCTGCGAGAAGGAAACAGGCTAGGAAGGGGATTCAAGCGGGGAGTCTCCTCGGCCACCGGCCCGCGAGGCACGAGCTGGAGTGTTCTCAGGTCCCCTGCAGTCCTGTGTCCTGAGTCCTCGGGATTGACTAATCTACGACGCCTGCGGGGCGAATCACCGCCGTCCCGGCCTCTTGGAAATGCCCGTGCGGCCAAACGTTTGCCGAAGTCTGGCCAGCTATTGGACCATGTGTTCCTCCAGTTGTTATGGACCCCCTTGGTGGAACACTGAGGAGAAGAAGAGAAAGGAGGAGAGGGAGGGGTAAGATCATGATGATGATGATGATGAGGAGGAGGAGGAGGAGGAGGAGGAGGAGGAGGAGGAGGAGGAGGATGCCTCCCGCCGCCGCTGCCGAGGCCAGAGGACGCCTTTTATCGGGGCGCCGCGCGCCCGAGCAAGCTTCAAGGAAGGTGCACCGGCAAAGATGATTGGACAGCGGGCGGAGGCGTGGCCGACGACCAGCTGCACAAACACTGAGTCGAGGGTACAAACATACGCGCGAGGGAGGGAGGGCTGGGAGCGCAACAAAGAGACCTCAAATGGCCATGGAATGGCAAAGGAATGCCGCACAGATCCATGGCCCTGACATGCGGCCTCTCCTGCTGTGACGTCTGGCAATCTACAACGAAGTAGTGGGCATGCCTCCCGCCGCCGCTGCCGAGGCCAGAGGACGCCTTTTATCGGGGCGCCGCGCGCCCGAGCAAGCTTCAAGGAAGGTGCACCGGCAAAGATGATTGGACAGCGGGCGGAGGCGTGGCCGACGACCAGCTGCACAAACACTGAGTCGAGGGTACAAACATACGCAAAACTGCCAAACATTCCTTGGTCATCTCTATACAAAGCTGAATTATTCACCGTCAAACGAAAAGACTGGTCAATGCAATTGTCTTTGAACTGCCATGAGCGTGATCGAGGCAACGAGCAAGGGCCTTGCACAAAGCTGGAGGGTACTGCTGAGCGGCTTTTGTCTTAAAGCCGCCTCCTTGTGCGAGGCCATGGATTGATGTGTGCTTCTTCGCTGTGCGAGAGCACAGCTTGCCATGACATTCACGGGCAACAGAATGCAGAGACACGCGGTCCCCTAAAATTCTGGTGGGCTTCTTCCAGGGTGTCCCCCATTGGCACATGTCAGTATACACGAAGTGGCTCGTACTCCATGCGGCGGCTTTTTTGAGACGAGGCAGCAGCCAGAGACGCGAACGTGCAGGGTTCTCCAGCGCCACCGGGCGCTGGAGCAGGTGCATCAGCTCAAAAATACTGCAACAGAAACCGGCAAGAACATTACCAATTCGAATGGCCTGCACATCGGCAGGATGAGTGACCTCAGGGAGCCCCATCAGATGCTGGTCAGATCGGAGCCGCGACGGGAGCTGTGGTCCAGCTTGACCTAGCTCTCGCAGCGGCCCCGTGTCCCTGGCCCTCGTCCACGTCTGGCACGGCGTCCCCATGAACACTCCCCAGACCTGTCCGGCCAAGAGCCAGCCTCTCACGAGCTTCTGGGCCCTCCTTGCCGAAAGGTCCCAGGCTGGCCCACGGCAGATATCCCACTCGAGCACGGCGAAGCCCCTCTCACGCAGCGCCCGCGAGAGCCCGCCATGCCCGCTGAACAGCTCTAGAAAGACCTGCGGCTGGACCAGGCGGGCACCCCGGCTGGCCAAGGCGCGAGCGAAGGCCTCGCGAGGCAAGTCGGCAGCTGTGTCGCCGCCACGACCGCCCTCGCGCGGACGCCTGGGGACAGCCGCTGCAGCTGCTCGCCCACGCGCCCCTCCTTCTGGTAACGCCTCACGCTGGAGTCGCAATGCCAGCGACCTCTCAGCTTGATCTCCCCAGACATCCGAAGGTATTGGTTTTTTCATAGCTGCGAAATGTCTTGGTTTTTGTGGATTGTCTTGGTTTTTGTTCCAGACTGTGCGATGTCTTGGTTTTTTGTCAGATGTCTTGGTTTTTTGTCAGATGTCTTGGTTTTTTGCTAGATGTCTTGGTTTTTCTTACAAGTAGACACCCCGACGTGACCAGTCACAACAGGCCGTAGCAAATACAATGCACGTGCTAGATACACCGATAAAGGAGACACAACAAAACATAGTTTCCAACGCGCATAAATCTTCCATGTTAAACTCGAGAACTGAATGGCGAAACTGCTTCACTTGTTTTATGAAGGCCTTGACATGGAAATAAACATAGTCGAGTAGCACGTTTCCTTTTATCACGCACGCGCGCGCACTCGCGCGCGCCCTGTATTATGGTGACCTCAGCATGGAATGCTCGATCCTCAAACACAACGCTTTCCTTGTCGCGCGCGCGCTCCGACATGCGCAACGCAAGAAGGAAAAAAAAAAAAGACATAATAACGTCATATGGAAAAATCAAGGGTGGCACGTGCCACCCCGAAACATGAATGGTGAAAACAAATTGTTTCATTCGTATTTCCAATGCCTCCATCAAGTTTCTTGCATATATTGCCCGCGCGCCAGAGGGCGCGCGCGCGCAGTAAGGAAAACATGAGGTTTCAACATGTAAAATTCCATGCTGAGGCCCTCAGAATACGAGTGAAACAATTGGTTTTCACCATTCATTTTTCGAAATTAAGATGTGCATTCTTTATTAATGGTTGTTATAGCGCGCGCGCGCCAGGGCGCGCACGAGATAAAGAAAATACGCTGCGTCATAATATAAAACTCCATGCTGCCTGGGGTGTGCCGGGTACCCTGCGCGCGATGCGAAAAGCGTTGTGTTTCACACTGTCGCGTTAGGCTACATGTTGTTTGATAATGGCGTGCAAAACAATGTGCCATATTATGTATATATATATGTATATATATATATATGATATCATGTTGAAATCAGAGGTGCAAGTGGAATAATAGGAGGTTCACACGCCTGCGGCTCATCCATGGCCAGCGTACGCATTTGCCGTGGATTGTCTGGGGCGAAATGACCCCAAGGGGGAGAGGAGGGGTGGGCGGGAAGAGGAAAGTGAGGAGGGAAAGGTGAACGGGAGGAGGGGGGAATGAGGAGCGCGCGGGGCGCGGCGCGCTGCGCGCGCGGAACGCTGGCTCTGGCCCGCGCCGCGGGCAGGGCGAGCGCCCGCGCGCGCGCGCACATGGCGGCCGCGGCCGACTCCGAGGCCGAACGCTCCTCCTCCCCCTCCTCACCCTCCTCCTCCTCCTCCTCTTCCTCCTCCTCCTCCTCCTCCTCACCCTCCTCCCCCTCCCGTTCCTGTTCCTCACCCTCGTCACCCTCCTCGATCCTCCTCTTCAATCTGAATTGTGGTTGTCTTCCTCCCCTCTCATTCCTTGTCCTGCTCTCCCGTCGCACTCATGATATTACCTCTCATCCTTTTCCCTCCTCCTCTTCATTCTCCTGTTGCCTCCTACCCCCTTCACTTAATCGCCCTTCTCCTCCGGTTCGAGGACCAGCGAGAGACCGAGGAGGATCGAGGAGGAGAGGAGTGGGATCGAGGCATTCATCGAAGAACATTTCCAGTTCGGGCTCAATTTCGACGAGGCGTGCGACCGCGCAGGGATACCAGTCTTCGATCCCGAGGCCTGTCCTCCTCCTTATCCTCCTCCTCTTCCTCCTCCTCCCACTCATCTTCCTTTCCTATCCTTCGCCTACTCCTCCAAATTTCTCCTCGTTCACAATCCTCCACATCGCCATCGCAAATCGTGTCAAGATCATCCATTCTCAATCCTGCTCGTCCTTCTGTCCCTCCTCCTCCTCCTCGTCCTCTTGTGTTTCTCCTCCTTCTTCATCGACTCGACGAGGGTGCTGGTTCCCCCCCTCCCTCCGAGGGTGCTGTGGACGCGTCAAAGCTGGGGTCGTGCCGAAGAAGGGCGTGCAGCACGAAGGAGCCCGAGAACATCGCCGAGGTTCCATGGGCGGAGGAGTGGGGAGGGAGAGAGAGAGAGAGGGGAGACAGAGAGAGATCTCATGAATAAAGAGAGGGTGGGATATGTACAGGTATATAATATATATATATATATATATATATATATATATGCATCTCGAAAAAGGAGAGGGAGAGAGAGGGAGAGAGATAACGGAAAGTGCCAGAGAGAGAGAGAGACAGCGGGATAATAAGTATAGAGAGAGATATAGGAAGAGAGCGAGGGAGGGGCGGAGGGAGAGAGAAAGAGGGGGAGAGACAGAGAGAGCGAGAGAGGGAGAGGAAGATATTATAGAGAGAGAGAGAGATAGAGAGAGAGAGAGAGAAATAAAGAAAGGGAGAGAGAAGGAGACGAAAGAGGGAGAGAGAGAGAGAACGAGAGGGACACAGACAGCGAGAGATAACGAGATAGAGAGAGAGCGAGAGCGACAGAAAAGAGAGAGAGAGAAAGAGAAAGAGAAGAGGGTGGCAGATGGGGAACGGATAAGAAGAATGGATGAGGTAGGAGCGATGATGATGATGGTGATGCTGATGCTGATGGTGTTGATGCTGATGCTGGTGGCGATGCTGATGATAATGGTGATGCTGATGTTTATGATGATGATGATGTTGATGACGGTGATGGTGATGATGTCGATGCTGATGACGGCAATGATGAATGTCATGGTGATGGTGGTGCTGATGAGGATCATGACGGTAATGATGATGGTGATGATGATGTTGACGATGCTGGCGACGATGATGATGATGATGCTGATGATGATGATGATAATGGTGGTGGTGATGATGGTGATGCTGATGCTGATAATGATGATGATGATGATGATGGTGATGATGATGATGATGGTGATGATGATGATGATGATGATGATGCTGATGATGATGATGACGATGCTGTTGCTGATAATGATGACGGTGGTGGTGATGAGGAGGAGGACGAGGAGGAGTAGGAGGAGGAGGCTCGAGGAGGAGGAGGAGGAGGAGTAGGAGTAGTAGTAGTAGGAGGAGGAGGAAGAGGAGGGAGAGGGAGTGGTGCAGGGGGTGAGGGAGTGAACGGGGACACGGGAGAGGAGAAGGAGGACGACTAGGAAGGAGATGAGGAAGATCGGGAAGACTGGCGATAATGAGAGACGATGGTGATCACGCGGGCTAGGAGCATGCCTCAGGAGCAGGGGGGGCAGGAGGAGGAGTGGCAGGGTGGAGGAGGGACGCACCCAGCCATCAGGCGCTGGTCTACACGGAGGGCCAGCCAGTCATCGCGGGTGCCCTTCTTCCTCCACCTCTCAATCCCCTCGTCGACGGCAGATCTGCCTCTCGGTCGATCGGCATGCGTTCAATGCGTCCTCGGCTCCTGCTCCTGCACATGGTTTTCCCTTCCCCTCCTTCTCCTCCTCCGCCTCCTTCTCCTCTGCCTCAACTTCGCATGGCCCTCCTCCGCTTCCTCCTCATTGCATTGCTAGCTCACTCCTGCTAATTCCCCTGGCGCGCCATCCTCCGCGTCGTCACCATCGCCCCATCAAGGTACGAAGATCCCCAATTTCGAGGATTATCAGCAGGAGTACACGTCGCGCCCGAACAGAGCGGCGATGCAGGTGCACTGAGGGAAACTATGCGAGTGGGATCAACCATAATTGATACGAGGATGGTGAGGATCCACGAGGAAGGGGATTGAGGAGACGGGTCGAGGATGAGGAAGAACATGACAACAACCAGGGAAGTGAGGATACCGCGCGATCCAGCCGCCGAGGAATAGGACAACACTGACCAGCCCTGCAGGAGAATTGTGGTTAAGGAGGGGGGGAGATGTGACGAGGAGGAGCGAGGAAGGTGGATCGAGGAAGGACGGTGAGAGAGGACGGGGGTGATGGGGCCACTGGGAGGGAGTCCCAGGTGTGGATCCCCATGGCAGAGGCGCTGGATAAGATCACGGACACGCTGCGCATCTCCCAGAAGTGCGCGGAGGCCCGAATGAACAGACGAGGATGATGATAAGGACGGGAGCACGAGGAGGAGAGGTGGAGAAGGGGGATTGTATTGTGTAGGAAAAGTGGGGTGAAGGATGGAGGAGGAACGGGGGGAACGAGGAACGAGGAACGGAGGGGCGACCCTCCCCCTAGAGGCGGCATGGTCATCGCTGTACTGGGCGCCCCTCCGCGTGCACCTGCAGAACGAAGACAAGCGCGGCCGCGTCCCGACGAACAAGGTCATGAAGGCACACCAGTGCCGAGGGGCAACATTAAGGAGGATGAGAGGGAGAGGGAGGGGGAGGAGGAGGAGGAGGAGGAGGAGGAGGAGGACGGAGGGCGGAGGACGAGGAGGAGGATCTCGAGGTGGATGAGGAGGAACACTAGTAAGAGGAGATGGTTTAGAGATGACGGTGACGAAGAGCACTGGAGTGGCGCCTTCGAGGAGGGTAGGATGCGGAGGAGTGGGTAGAAGTATGCACATGTCCACCACCTCTTTCTCCTCTTCATCATGCTCCTCCTCTCCTTTCGTCTCCTCCTCCTCCTCCTCATCATCATCAGCATCATCATCATTATCATCAGCAGCCGCATCATCAGCATCATCGTCGTCGTCATCATCATCATCAGCAGCATCAGCATCAACATCATCAACATCACCATCATCGTCATCATCGTCCTCCTGCTCATCCTCACCGTCCCCTCATCTGCCTCATTCCTCCTCCACCACCACAGTCATCAACAGCGTTCGAGCCCAAGGTATTTGCAAGGACGAGCGATTCGGCGTATCCACGCGCACTACCAGAAGATGAATGGAGCGAGCACCCAGCCATCGAGAGCGGAGATGGAGGCGCCCCTCTCATCCACCGTACCACGCCCCCATCATCCTTCTCCTCCTCACGCCTCTCCAGCACTCTCCTTTTCCTCCGCTTCCTCGTCCTCCTCCTCCTCCTCCTTCTCTTCCTCCTCCTCCTTCTCCTCTTCGTCCACCACCGCCTCCCTCCTCTC